TGTATAAGAGACAGGCCCTCCGCAGGGCGCAGGAGATGGAGCCGCTGGAGGCCAACGGCACCTGCAGCAACGGTGGGTGAGCCCGGCCCGGGGAGCGGCGGGAGGGGAGCGGCTTCATCCCCCCACCCGGCTTTGGGGCTGTTCTCTGTCGCTCTGTTTTTCTGGGTTTGGGGTTTCTTTTCCTCTTTTTATAGGAAGGGGAAAGCTCCCTTTCTCCGAGAGGCACACACAGCGCGGCCAGCGCTGGGGCAGCCTCACAGCGCTTACAGGGAAACTGGGAATTTTTAATTTTTTTGCCTTTAAAGATTACCTAATCCAGTCGGGAATCGCCGCACCCCACTGCTTTATTTATGCTTGTGCCCAGTAGCACACTGCAGAGACTTTTACCCAGCCACGGAGGCAAAATGTCCCGTCCCGTCCCCCCCCTACCCCTGTCCCCAGGAAATGCTTCCACAGCCAAGTTTCTCCATTAGAAAATAAACCGATTAGGGAACCTTTGGAAACTCATCTAGAAAGTCACTGGAATTTTTTTTCTATTGGAAAAAATAACTTTGGATCCAGATCCTCAGCTACACATGCCGGGACAGGAGGCGCAGCTATAGATCTAACCCAAGTCTCTTGGTTCAGGAAAAAGGGGGGAGCCGTGCTCAGGCTGCCGGCAGCACTGGGAGCAGTTTAGGCATTGCATACCCCTACCTGCGGAGATACAGATACTTGCTCCCTAATTTCAGGCAGAAAATTTCAAGTCCTTTACTACAAAGGGACTTTTGTGACACTCCCACCTGGCTGTTCCGAGCCCCACAGCTGCGGTCAAACCGTCTTTACTACGCTTGGGAGTAAAGATTGCAGTAGAAAGATGTGCCGGGTGTGGTAGGAGTGTGAGGATAGGAAGAAAGTCAGCAACTTTCCCACCCACACAGACCAACACACCTTGGCTAGAGATGAGGGGGCTTAGTGCTTCTGGTGTTAACAGCAGGAAACTATGCCTGCTTCCAGTCCTTCCACAGTGACAGGACTTGTCATGCTTTACAAGCTCTCAGGAACTCTGCAAATAGGTAGAATAAAACCATTGGACAGCAGAGGCAACGTACAGGTGAAACTTTGGTCTGGAACGAGCCTGTTGCTTTACAAGCAATCCTGTGACACCACTTGGTATACAGAGCTGGAACAGATGAACAGTAACAAAGTACTGGCATCGCTCCACATTAAACCCAGAGCTGTAAACTGCAGACAAGCGGGAAGATGCGAGGATTAGTTGGCTGGAAAGCACCAAAGCCCTTGAATCAACAAAATCAAGTGTCGATATGGCATACTTCAAACTTACAACATTGGAGTTTGGTGGAGAGATGCTGGCATAAATATTTGGAAATTCAAATTACATTGTTGTAGTGGTCCTTGTGGCCTTCCAGTTCAGTGCGTAGAGTGGCAGACACATTCAGTGTCAACGAGCTGCTGGAACTGCACTCCATAAATCCATCACTCAACACCTTGCCATTTCCACACGTGAGTAAAGAGGTGTCCTGAGTTTTTAAGAGCTGGTGGGTATGTGCTGTTAGAGTGGCTGTTCAGAGGGACATCTGAGTGAGTCCAAAGAACAACAGAGACACTGTTGATAGTCATATCTGTAATTTGCTGTTTTATCTCCATGGTGGTCTCGCAGGGTCTCTGGTGACCCTTTCATGCCTCTCCCACCGGGTTGTGTGCCGGGTGATCAGCGATGCTGAGCCAGCTGACTCTATCCAGGACAATGGAACTTCGGGTAACTTCTGGATAACTCAACTGGAAAACAATTATGGATTCTACATTGGCCTGGGCTTGGCTGTTTTCTCCAGCTTCCTCATCGGAAGCAGCGTCATCCTCAAGAAGAAGGGGTTGCTACGGCTGGTGGAGAAGGGAGGCACCAGGGCAGGTAAGGCTTCTGTGGGGGGCAGGAGGGAGGAGGTCCACCTAATCCCAGAACCACACACATCATCCAAACTCCAGCACTTGTATGGCAAAGGAATAGCTCTGGGTACACATCAGTCTTCATCAGCAATGTGAGATAGACCTTTTTTGCATTTATATTTGTCTGAGACTCAGAGAGCACTGCTGTGCTGAGGAGCTAATTTACAGAGCCCTGTGTTGAAAGGGCTCGGCTAAAAGCAGCATTCCCCTGCCTTGCACCACAAATAGCAAGTCATATGCACCGTGTCATCAGATATGCACCCACCAGAGAAGCAATACGTGTCCAGCACAGCTCTTGCATGGGAAAGTGTGAGGCCAGGAGGAAGCAGACTGTTGAAAGGTCTTTGAAATGTGCCTCTTTGCACAAAGGTGTAAGTCATCCCTGTGCCACAGACTGGAGCAGAACAGCACAGCTCTGTGACCCCAGTTGTGCTTATTGATGCATTAGGCAGCTTTACCAAGTCACTGAGACAGGGATGCAGCCCCATGAGCTCTAATTTCATTAGCAAAAGCCATTTATTAATGCAGGACTGCACGCCTGTGATCTGTGTGAACTCTGCTTGTGGTTTTCAGAAAGGATACTTGTGAGGCATGTTGCTCAACAATGTGTAGATAACTTTCCTCTAGCACCGAGATCTTAGGGTGAGGCATGTGTTTATGTGCACGTATGTATGGATGGCAAATGGTGGAGGAGCACTGCCTACAGCACAATTGTACTATGGAGTTGGACGCATCCCATCAGCATTGCAAACATTTACTCTAGCCAGAGTGTAAATCCTACCTGGCAGCCGACCTACTTGCATAACTACAAAACAAAATTATGATAATTAAGATACCACTGCTTCTCAGTTCTGGCCTAGGAACAATTCTTAAATCATTTTACAAAGGAAGTCAGTATCACTGTCCCCATTTTACTGTGTCCCCCTATGAGGGCACAGAGGCATGGAATGATGAAGTGACTGTCCAGAGTCCAACAGCACTGGAGCCGCAGCCCAGTCTCGAGTCTGTCTCCATCCCCTGCCATTCGGCTGGCTGCATGCAACTGCTGAACTCACATGGGTTTGCTTTTCACATTATATTTGCACAATGAAATACTAGTGTTGTTTCAATTGTTGATTCTCTCTCCTCCTTCCCTCCATGAACTCCTTCACAACAGAGCCAAGTGAGTAAAACAAGAGCAAACCCCTCCCTATTTTTCAGGATGTTTAACCAGGAATTAGAGATTAATGACAGAAAACTGCAGCTGACAGAGTTCTTGAGAAGAAACCCGACCAAACAAACCAAAACAACCCAGAAATTTCTAAGGAATACCAAATCCTAACATTTGAACTTGAGCATTTGTGAACTTGAGGAACTAGAAGAGGCTGGATTCTAGCAAATTCCTGTCTGCCTCTTCATTCCCCTTTTCCTTATCTCACCCTTTGATCTCTCAGTCCCAGTCTTTCACCCCTCCTATCTGAGCACATCACTCTTCTCCAAGGCAGGTCAAACACTGCTGCTACTGACAGCTCCAGTCAGGTCAGACTTAACAGAAACAGAGGTGCTCTCTGACCCCATAAAATCAGAGTTCACAGTGTCAACAGGCTCAAGCTCCCTACATCTAACAACTTGTGGGTTAAGAGCAGAGCTGGATTAGTTCCCAACACAGTATGTCCATTCTTCCTCATTTATATGCGCATTTTCTTTAACTGAGTTCTTCCAATGCCAGGAATCACTTTTCATCAGAAACGCTCAGTCACATAGTGACGGCTCCACAGAAAGTTAACATTAGGATTTTTGGCAGCTCAGGCCGAGGCCCTATGATACAGCTAGGATACAAAGCAGCGTACAAAAGGAGCAGATAGCTTCTGGGACAGGATGGAAGAAGACTTCACCATGACTGTACAGCAATTCAAAGTAAAGCACCACATGCCTGCACAGAGCAACCGACCAGTTTTCCCCCCTCTTCATCTTTCATAGCTACAACCCGCACTTGAGCTAGGTTTGGAATAACTCAGTGCCTTACCTTAGAGTCCATGCACAAGAGTCCACAGCAAGCCAGTGCAGTGCGAAGTGAAGTGCAGGCTCCCCGTGGGCAGGATGGAGGGTGTCCAGGGAGCAACCTTTGGGTGGGGAGCACCCAGCACAGAGCAGCCCCTGCCATCCTTCATCCCTCTGCTCCAGGAGTGCCCCATAGCAAACAGGTAAGTAGAACATGCAAGACAAAACGTGACTGGCCCATGGGTGTTTATTGCTGGGTTTAGGGGCCGATGCATCCTGATAAACCACAAGGATGACTACAGCTTCCAGGGCTGATGGGCAGCCCCAAGTTCCATACTGCAGCAGGGCAAGCTGCATCCCAAACCAAGAACCTCTGCGGCAGTGGGTGCCATTCCTACTCAGGATTAAACAACTGGCTTTATTGCATTTGCATTACCCAGTCCCAAGCGCCAGCTTCCGCTCATCTCTTGACTCAACATAATATCCATGTAGGAGGGCATATCTGCACATTCTGTCCTTCCAGGCTGTTTCTTTTGTCTTCTCCTTGCAATTTACCCCTCTCCAAAGGGATGTTTCTCATCTCTTACTCTGAAAAACATGGTGGTTAACTCCTGCATACCTGTGTGCTTTGCTTCCCCAGGAGATGGAGGCCATGGCTACCTAAAGGACTGGCTCTGGTGGGCTGGCTTGTTAACCAGTAAGTAGAAGCTGTTTCCCTGGGTTTGAAGCTTTTGCAGGGTCTGTCCCTGTGAATTAGGTGTGGAACTAGCCCAGCATCTGGTGGCTTAAAGCCTTTTTTCTAGGAAGCGCCCCCATCATCAGAAGAGGTACCTCAAGGAGGGCTGAGGCAGTGAGCAGCACAGGATCTCCCTCACCATCCTCCCGCAGGGTTGGTAGGACTTGTTAGCTCAGTTTTACCAGCTCCAAAGCATGAAAAGCCAGGTTTTAATAAGGCAGCTGGCTGGTCTGCCTGCATACCAAGCGCAGAGCAAACAGCCTCCCGTGAGTGCCTCGGGGCTCCAGGAAAGGCTGCTGCAGCACAAAGGAGTTGGCAAGGAGGTGTTGATAGCAGCTCCTTTCTCGAGCTAACCTTGTGTTGCCTTAGAGCAAGGCTCAAATCTTTCTTTTCATTCTGCAACATTACAGCATCTTCTCAAATTGGACTCCCAGCCGTGCAAAGAGCAGCAGAGGATTTTTCAGAGGAGCATTTTCTAGCTCTCACTGCTGCTGCAGCAGCTACAAGGTGCCCCTGCCTTGCTCTGCCCTCACAGCTCCTGCTACACCACCCCTAAGAAAGGGCACAATACTCACTGCTTGGGGGACAAGGACAACTGAGCCAGAAGGAGACACCCCAACCCCAAGAAGCCACTTTGTAAGTGAGGAGCAGCCTCCCAACATGCTCCCACAACAGCCCACCCCTCGTTAATCACCCAGACACATTGCAGCTGCCTGGCTGGGCTGTGGGGTTCAGTGGGTTGATCTGTGCCAGCTGTGACATGGCCAAGCCCTGGCACCCCCAGCCCTTCTCCATCTGTGGGGGTGCAGGGCTCCGGGGATGCCTCTCTGCTTGCATTAATTTATAACAGATTTTCACCCACTAGCTGGCTCTGTTTAGCAGCAGCATGAAACCCCCATAATAAAGCCCACTCTCTAACTGACATCTTACTAGTTTGCAAGCCCACAAGAGAAAACACAGAAAGTATACTGTAACTCACTGATATTTATTTTTCTTGTGTTTGTTTAGTGGGTGGAGGGGAAGCTGCCAACTTTGCCGCCTATGCCTTTGCTCCTGCAACTATTGTCACGCCTCTGGGGGCTCTGAGCGTGCTCATAAGGTGATTTGAGTGTCTGTAGTTTGCCTTTTTTGTTTGCCTGTTTGTCTTGTAAGATAGAAAGACTTGAAGTGATGCAAATATGATTTATTCTGCCTAAAGGGAAAAAATGTCTCAGTGTTTTCTAAAAGATGCTCTAACAGTTGTTGCCCTTTTGGGGGATCATTTTCAAACCACTGAATTAAGTAGCATGCCTTTATGGAAATGCTGCATGTGGATAGGAGCCATATAGACTTCAGGTTAAATTACTGCAAATATCAGTGTTACTTCCTTCCTTATTCCAGCTCTTTAGCCAGTTCAAGGTTGTCATTTTTGTTTTGTTTTTGTAGTGAACAATACTAAAAATCTAAAAGGGTCAAAAATATGAGGCTTGTTTTTAAACTTTCTTTCACTGTTTGTTTTCTAGGCTTTTAGGGTGCGCTGATGTTGTGGTTTTATACTCCTGTCTGTTGCCAAAAGGGCTGAAACCCTATTTTATTAATTTATTTTTTAAAGGGAGATTCATATCAAGATACGTGACTCCAAGTACTGAAGGTTCTATAGGACTGTTACAGTGAAATGCATAAGCAGGGTTAGGACTGCTCTGGTGGATTGCCCCAAATTTTTACGGACCACAGCTAGATGTTTTTGCAGATGTATCTATAGCCCCAGTACTGTCAGAGTTTCTCTGGGGTGTAATAGTTCTGATGATTAAGTTAAAATGAATGTAACTCATTACTAGGTTGGTTTTTTTTCCTCTGTTCTACTGGTCCTTGAAAGTGTCCTTGAAGGTCCTTAGGCATAAAGGCTTCATAATGCCCAACAGCTCATGGGTGAATCTGTAGACCCTCAAAATAGTTCTGAGAATGTGCTAACACATTCAGCATTTTTTCACCTCGCTGATCTATAGGTTACACCTGCACCTCTGCAGGTTCAGCTGTCAGTAGATGCAATGTGATTGCCTATTAACACACCAGAATCCAACAGATTTACTCACAATTTGTGTCCTTGTGAAGGCACATGAAGACACACTTACTTTAGCTGCTGTTCCTTTTTTAAAGGACTTCAAAGCACCAGCTGTTTTTGTCTTGTGCAGTGCCATTCTGTCTTCATATTTGCTTGGAGAACGGCTCAACCTGCTGGGAAAGCTGGGCTGTACGCTCAGCCTTGTGGGCAGCACGGTGATGGTGATACATGCCCCAGAGGATGAGGAGGTCACCACTCTGGATGAAATGTCTTCTAAGCTGAAAGAGCCAGGTATGCAGGAGGTCGTGTGTTCTCTCTTGGGGCTGGGCAGTGCATACTGCTCCCCATGCCCCCCGCTCAGTTTTGAGTTACTTCTCTTCCTCTTCCAGGTTTCCTCGCTTATGCTGCGATCCTCTTGGCTGTCTGCCTCCTCCTGATCTTCTACCTTGCACCCCGCTATGGCCAGAGCAACATCCTGATCTACCTCACCATTTGCTCTGTTATTGGTGCCTTCTCCGTGTCCTCAGTCAAGGGCCTGGGTATTGCCATCAAGGGCTTCTTTGTTGGCCAGCCTGTGCTGCAGCACCCATTGACATGGATCCTGGTCATCACGCTGGTGGCATCCATCACTACACAAATTAACTACCTCAATAAGTCTCTAGACATTTTCAACACCTCTTTGGTGTTTCCCATCTACTACGTGCTGTTCACCACCATCGTCATCACAACTTCCATCATCCTCTTTAAGGAGTGGGTCACCATGACCGTAGTCGACATCATTGGGACAGTTTGTGGCTTCCTCACCATCATTTTGGGGGTGTTTTTACTCCATGCCTTCAAAGACATGGATGTCAGTTTAGGGAACCTACCACAAGTCCTCCAGAGTGGACAGCAAGCACCGGTCACCCGAGATGACAAGAACATCCTGATAGAGGTGGACAACTCCAGCATCACCCCAGAGGATAAACCCAAAGTATTCATGACCTACACCTAGTGCGTTGTACGCGAGGGTCTGGAGGTTGGGTGAATGAATTGATATCAATATTCCAGATGCTAGTAAGCAATTTAAAAAAAGAGGAAAAGCAGAAAATAAACCCAACGATGTCTTATCTAAAGCTTGGCAGAGTCAAGTCTTTCTCAGGCCTTTTGGATTGGATCTTTGTCATGGTGTGGCAGCAAGGGGTATGTTTAATCCTCACTGGGCTTTAATACATGCAGCCACTGAAAATTAAAATCCTCTTGAAATATGATATTACTGGGACAAAGCTCCTCTCTGGGGCCCCTTCCCATCTCTTATTCTTGGCAGGGGTAATGTTTACTCTTGCACTCCTTCCCCTGGGTGGCCATTGGTGTGTTTATATCCAGGCCATGACTGAGTCATTGATTTGTTATTTTTTGTTTTTCTTCCTTTCTAGATGCTTGCGTGAACTCTAAAATACACACCAGTATCTCAAATGAAGGTGAGCGACAAGGACTGAATGGTGCACGCCTGCTACTCCGACTCTGTTCATCCATCTTTAGTTACTTGCTCTGCAAATATGGGACAAGAATATTGGTGAATACTGGCAAAACGTGGCGAATTCTGGAATGGGTGCTCATTTAGGCTCAGTGACAGAACCCAAGCCATGAAGTGTTTTTACAGGACTGTGGCAGAGAAATCTTTTTCAGCTTTTGTTTCTTTGTGAGGTGCAGGATTTTCCCTGCAGCACAGTGTAAATGAAGTTTTATGTGGGGTTTTGTTTGTTTGGGTTTTTTCCTCAGCAGCTGTGCCCAGGCTATGTTGATAGGGTTGATGAAGCTGCTGGGCCTGATACAAGACCTCATCTGAGCGAGGGGCAGCCTCTGCTCAGGCTGGGGAGCTCTGGCAGAGGAAATCTATAATCGGGAGAAACACTGCCACCACCTTCAAGACTTTTTATGGTCTGTGAAAGTCTTTTCAGCCTGAAAGATCAAGTGGCTCTTAAAATTAAGTATTTCATTTCTTAGGATATGTCTTGACCCTGGAGAGTGCCCCAATTGTTTGAGCCTCATGACCTGTCCTGCTACCATTTAAGTCCAAAAGTTTTGGGGTTTGTTTTTTGTTTTTCTTTTGGTTTTAATTTTTTTTAGAGGGATGTCTGAGCTGCATATTAAAATCCAAACAGATATAAGTGGATGATGCTCTTCAGAGCTGTAGGGATGCAGTTTAACCCAGAGTTGTCCCATCCATGCCTCTCCATCTTTCTCAGTGGATGTTACCTGGACTCTTGCTCACAGCTCACCTTCAAAACCCCCTTGGATATATATCAAGGGTGAGGATGAAGGGATGGGGGAAATAACATTTTGAGTTAGAAGGTGAAAAAGGGAGTTCAAAGTTTCTCCCATCTTGCTGCTAGGTCTTACAGCATGGAGAGGCTTAGAGCCCTTTGCTCACAGCAAATCCCAAACCAGGAGCCACAAAGCCTGAGTTGGCTTTGCTAGGCCTCCTTGGGCGGGAGACAGCTCTGCCTGGGTTAGCCCTGGACCACAGCGCACACTGATGCTGTCTGAGATGCTGCCCTGCTTATACCTGGGTCTGGGCATCGCCGAGCAAATGCAACTTGGGGTTGGAGGGGAGAGGAATATGCAATCTCTTATTTTAATAACATTTCAGTACTTTTTTTTTTTTAATGTGGAAAGGGAAATAAAGGCTTTTTCTAAAAAAAAAAAAAACAACAACCAAACAACCAAAAACCAAACAAACTAAAAACCAACCAACCTTGCAGATGGATCTGACAGTTTTTAATAATTTCTCTGGTCGGCGTAGCCCTAAAGGATAAACAGGCTGAAGGACCGCCGAGTACAGAAGAGCATCTGCGGCAGAGAATAAAACAGCAGCGCCCTCCTTTGGTATCAGAAAATAATCCAAGTAATTCACTCTAGCTTTGTTTTTGGCATCCAAATCGGTATAATGCTTTATGCACTTTAATTTAGAAGTAGATTATAAACAGAATTCATTCTTCTCACTGCCTAGAACTGCATTTCATAAAAGCCATTCCTCCAGATATCCTGCCATCTCTGGACAAATGCTTTATATAAAATGAAGTTTTGAACCAAAATAGTACACAGTGACAAAATATTTGTTAATGACAACTGATAAATTTATTAAAACTAGGCAAAAGGCACAATGAATTGCATTCTTCAAGTATTTGCATAGATGCACAAAGAGCATTATTGTAAACCATGTGGACACAGGAGAAAGTGAGATGTATTTTGGTATATGTTCCTCCAAGCAATGTTATCTTTTAAAAAAAACCCTCACGTTTTACCATCTTTTACTCCTCCTACAGTTACCCTATTCTTATTCACTCAATTTGCACACATACAAAGAATTAAAAGGACTTATTTAAAACTACCTTTTGGAGACTTTATGATATTCCAGCAATAAAGTTTTCCATTAGGATTTGGTCACATCCAGTTGTTCTCTGAGCTTTGTGTGTCTGGGGGAATTTTTTTAAAGCTTGATCCCATGTTCAGATGAAATGCACTGAAAATATTCTTAGTGATTTTTGATGGCCATCTGATAAAGATCAGAGGCCGCAGCAGAAGTATGCTGTTGGCTTCAGCAAGGGCTCAGATACAAGATCAAGTTCTTGTGGTTGAATCTGTACCACAGTATAGGTACAGTATGTGCCCAACTTACTGTTCCACCTGTGAGCAGTAAAATGTGCCATTACACAGCCATATTACCTGCACCTCAAGAAACAAATTGGGGGTTGTCTGAATATAGGTTGTTTATATGTAATAATTCAATTACAGAAAAAGACACAGAAAATTTAGAAAGCTGATGTCCTTCACTTGCCATCCCTTATTTCAGAGAAGTCTTTTAGGTTGGTTTGTTTTCCAGGCATACAGAAGTTAAGAAAAGGTCCAAAATTATTAAGATAATGAATCATCAACCAGAAATTCAAGACACACCCTGTGTACTGTTTCCTTGTGGAGAAAGAGGTAGTAAAGTTGTGAAAACTATTGTGGTTGTCATCCTACAGATACATTGCTACATATAACTACAAATTTAATGAAGGCTGAGGGTTTATCTGTTTGTTTTGGGTTTTTTTTCAATCAGTAGAGCTTAGGGAAAGAAAACCATCAGACAAGACTTTTTTTCTTTATGCCAGTAAAACAGTTTCTCACATGTGCAGCAGCAATCACACTGTTTTGAGGATTTGTGTATAATAAATCAGACACAACAGAAATGTTGTAGCCATAGATCCAGAATTCCCTGTGTTCTAGGAAATAATTTCAAGGAAAAAAAAAATGGTATAACAAAAGGTCTTAATTTAAAATCCTGAGGAAAAAACATACAAAAGTCCAAACTATTAGGAGAAAAAAAAAACAAAACACAACAACAAATTCATAAGGGAGGGTCCTCAGGGTCAGAACCATCAGCTGCTTAAAGTGCGCACAGACAACTCTTTCCATCCATGTCCTGGAGAAAAAAACCTGGAGTAAATGAGCTGCCCTACAAAAGCACCATGTGTTGCATTAATATTTCTGCTGTTTTACCACCTGGGCAATTTTAAGGTAGGTTTCTCACTGGTAAGGGGAGCAGACAGCCCGTGCTGAATTACTGCTCAGCACAGACCGAAGCCTGAGGAGACGTGCAAAAGTGTCCACTGACCCATGGTACCGCATGCTGGAGAAGAGATTTCAGCACTGGCTTTTGCTGAGCTTCCTTCTGGCCGTTTGCTCTGTATCTTGGCCAGAGAGTTTCCCTGTCGTACCTTGCCTGTGTCCCAAGGACACGGATGAGAGTGCACGAGCCACGCTGAGGATACTGTCAGGTCTTACAGCACTGAGGCAAGCCAAGTGAGTGCTGGAGGACAGACAGGTTGCGGTGCTCTTGCTGATGATGGTTATATGCGGAATATAACTAATCTGCTCTATTAAAGCTAATCAAAGTCCACTGTGACCCACAAATTATTTTAACCAGGAATATTTCCATGGTTTTCTCCCTGTTGTGGCCCTGCTTGTCCCCCACTGTAAACTGAGAATAAGCTGAAGAAAGTTATCAACGGTTGCCGCCTGCTCTCCTCTTAGGAGGCAGAGGTTTCTGTATAGCACCAACGTATGCAGCTGAGGAAGCCAACAGGGCTGGGTCTAACATGAAAGCCCATCAGGGCTAGCACCTGCACTCACAGCTTGTTCTCTCTGGTAACACTTAAATAACTGATTAAAACCACATGAAAACCCCATCACCCCATCCCTGCATTGGATATTGCACAATAATATTTAAATACCGTATAAACAAGACATCCCTATATGGAAAAGGCTATCAGAGAGGGTCGAGTTCAGCTTGGCATGTACCGGCACATGTTCCTGGGGGCACTCCTGACAAGCCTGACTGCAGCTTGTTGAGTCACATAAGAAACCAGGGAGGCTAGAGGAGAGAAACCAAGACACTGTCTGTGGCCGTGGACGTTTTTTTGCATGATGAAGGCCATCCAGTCCCTGGTGAAGGTCAGAGCCAGCCAGAAACAGACTGTTTCATGAGTGCCCACAGGAGCCCAGCTGTCCCACTTTATAGACGTTCACTGCTCCAGCTGTCCTGACGCCAGCAGTCTGGGTGAGATAGAAAACGGGAAAGAGAGAGAGTGAGCGCTGGTGAAAGAGCAAATGCTGCCTTTTCCTTCAGATGATGTTACAGGGGACCAGGGGAAGCCTGTCTCTGTTCACATGCATTCACACCCTAACACATCATTTAGGAAACTCTCCCACCAGGAGCACAATGAAGCTCCTTCAGTTCTCTCAATTTTTCACAGCTGGCCTCAAGTACATTGCAGGCTGAGGGCAGCACCTGTGCTGTGTGGAGTGGAGGTGTTTTGTGTTAAGGGGTCTGGTTTGCAGGGAGCTGAACTCAGCAACTAAAAGTCCCTTATTAACTCTCCTTATTAAGGACAATTTTGGGAAACACCCCCTGCAGGGAAAGCATCTCCTTAGCTATGGTTAGAGAATGGAGAGAATTTCCGTTCCTTACTAGGGTCCTCAAGTCGTGCATGGACCTTCCTGCTTTGCTGCTCTTCACTAACCATTCTGGGTTAGACACCACTTGGCCTCCCATTGCTCGGCCCCTCACACAAATGTCTTGTCTGGGGAAGTGCTCAGGGGTGCGGAGGACTGAACTAACTGTTTTGCCTAACCCAGTTATGCTTAATAAGGAGCAGGTAAAAACAGAGACCCCTGCAACAAAGGCAACCAACCCAACAGCCTCTCTGTCTCCACCCACCAGGGCTGTGCATGAAAGTGTTTAGCAGTATGACAGCAAGGTTACTCCCTTCAGAGTGCTTTTATTCTCCAGTGGTGAGGGGACGTTGCTGTGCTTCCCACCACGGCACTCAGTGCCTACCTCTGCCGCCGGCTGGAGCCGTCCTGGGGTTCTGGTGTGTGCAGGAGGCAGTGAGATGGCCGGGCTGTTCCCTGGCCAGGCTCTGGGTCTGGCTGGGATGGGATTAGCTGGCAAAGCTCTTTGCGGTGGCCGGGGCCTAGAAATATCCTATGCAAAAAAAAAAATAAATTTTGAACTCTCAGCCTGGACATATGCCCAGCCTGAAAACAGAGATAATATTTGCATTCACTTTACATGGCCTGAACTTCTGGGTATGGCCACAGGTCCTTCAGACCTCTTGGGTTTTTTCTTTTTTGTAGGTCTGAGACAGCAGACTGGGTAGGCAGCTGCCCACCTTGAGGTCTCTGCTTTGGAGTTAACCCCAGGGATATTACAATCTAATAGCTGCATGAAGAAAAACAGGAGAAAACGTACAGACTGGGCAGGAGTTCCCATCACAACTCAGCCTCCTGTAGCACCCCCACTTGAGACAAAGGACTGAAGGGACACAGGTAAAACCATGCTTGCAAAGACCTCTCCCTCTCTGAAGCAAGGAGGGAACGCAGGTGGCTGCCACAATGGCTTATTGTATGATGCAGGTGATTAGTGGGTTTCAACATGTACAAGTTTTTCACCTATCAAGATTCATGAAGACCGGATGGCTTTGGGCTGCTGGGCAGCTGGCTTCAAACTGAAGATGACTAAACAGGGTAACTGTTACTTTTCTCTGCCTCCTCAGTGGAGCTGCAGGCTGAAATCATGACATATTCTGGGTACTAGAGGACTCAGAAGTTTTAAGCCTTGACTTTTGCAAGTAACAGGGAAGCTAAGTTCCAGAGCCTTTTAATTAGCCACATTATTGATGCACTTAAGGTTGGAAGCAAGTTTCACACACGCTCACTGTATGATTGCCTATACAGTATCTGTGAGCCCTATATACATGTATATATGTGCTCATACAAGCACACGCAGCTCTGCACCCACCTACCATCAGCTATTACTTTGTTTGTGCGCTCAGCTGTCCCTAATAGGATACTCAGAGCGTTATATTTTCCATTTGTTTAATTAATTTCACTGTAAAGCATGCCCCTAGGGAGAAGTTACCCACACAAAAACTAACTGCCGGCTGCTGCTTAGCCTCTGTGCTAAGTCACTGGCCTACAGGTGTTGATTTAATAAACACAGCTGCAGTCACAACTTGGAGGGCACCCAAAACCCCTGCAGTCTCCTTAGACTATGCATAAATACAATGCTTGGTGGCCGCATCAGCTGATGCT